AAAAAAAAAAAAAATTTTACACTTCTCTGATTCTGTGAGTTATGGCAAATTGTGTGAACTCTGGCTAGAGACATGTTTCAGCAGAATAAGGAATGACATCATAAATGAAAAGGGCAACACACAAAGGCTGTGCTTCTGCATTGCGTGGTGCGCTGGGACTCAGGGCTTCTGGCTTTGCCTTCCAGTGGATGTTCTCCTACGTGGGCTTTCCCGTGGAGCTGAGCACGCTCTACTTCATTGGGGCCCACAACATCCCCAATGCAAACATGAATGAAGATGGCCCTTCCATGTCTGTGAACTTCACCTCACCAGGTAAACGTCCTCACTCCTCTGTGGGCTGTCTTGTCTTACCTGCTTTGGGGTATGTGGTTTGGTACAGAAAGCCCAGGGAACCCCGAACAAGGCCTTTGACCCAGCCACATGTGTTTCCTCATCTGACATAGGGACATAGTAGTAACCACCGCTCACTCAGAGTGGAGATGATGGAGGAGTCACAGAGTCACAGGATGGAGGGAAAAGCCCATTCCCTGTGTGTAGGTACTGTGCATGACATGTGACATCTCACTTAAACCTCCCCCAAACCCCAAGGTTGGGATAGGCCCATTTCACAGATGAGGAAATTGAGAGGTTGAGTGGCTGCCCTGAGTTGTACATAGTACGAGTGAGGCTGACCTCCACACTCTGGTCCCTCCATCCGTGCACTGCAGTGCTTTTTATGTCATTGATGCAAAACGTTTGTGTGCCACTCTTGGCTGTCTGGTGGGCTGTGTGTGGCCAGGCCTCTGAGGATCTGTGGTCTCCAGTAGGCTTGTCCCCTGGGCTGTCTGTGAGAGGCAGGGTGGTACTGAGTGGATGGCTGGGCCGTGGTGGGGAAGAGGCAGGTTCACATGTGTGACAGGCCCAGCTGGGCTGGGTCACCTGCTCGTGCCCCAGTGCTGCCGTCTGTCTCAGTTGCATCATGAAAACCAAATGGGACAGGTTCCAATTCAGCCTCTGAGCCCATGGCCAGGCTGTTTGGGTGCTGTGCGTGACAGGCGATGGGGTTCCCACTTTGGGACCCTGACAGAAACTGCCGCTAGCGCAGCTTTGGGCATCTCTGTGGGCAATCAACAGACCTTAGGCTTCCTCAGAAAGCTTTGTAATTCTCAAGGGACTCTGTTGTCTCTTGACATGCATACCCCAGTGCAATCTGGGGTGCCTTGGTGACAAGCAAATCCCCTTTTCCTAACTTCTGGCTTCCACAGAGACCATACCTTACGGACTCTGGGTAAAGACTATACAGATGGATTTTTGTTTTAATTTTTAATCCCCTTTTTCTCTCATTTGTTTTGTGGTGTCAGAGTCTATTTAGAAAATAGGGTAAATGATGTTGTTATCAAAAGTTGCCTGGGAGTGCTGGGAGTGCCACCCCCGTTATTGTGATGTTTACTGCTCTGAACAAAGCCTACAGTAAACAGACGCTGCCCCTTCCAGTTGTCCTTGCTGGCCTTTGCTGTGAGAGAGGACTTCCGTAGCTCGAATCATCACTGTGATGTCACATATCACGCTCTAGCCATTGGCTGTCACATAGTGCCTTGGGATGGAAATTTATTTACATAGATGTAGTATGCTTTACCATGGGAAGCTGGGTTTTTCTTTTTTAATTAAAGGATCATCTTCCCTGTCCTCCTAACAACGTATCATAAAGGATTATACATAGTGATAACCACTGAGGGTTCCACATCAGAGCAGCAACAACTGGCCTCTCTCCTCACCTGGTCTGGTAGCCCTTGCGTGCTTTTGTGAAGGAACTATTTGAAGCCCAGGGTCTGGGCCCTTTGCCTGTTCTCCTCTGTGACTTTTGAGGATATCTGCAACCACCCACCGCTGCCTCCTGCTCAGTCTTCTCACTCCCCTCACTCATGGTCTAGTAGAAATTGGAGAAAATGTGAAGTGGACTCCAGACATAGCAGAGGAAATTATAGTCCTATTTCCAGAGGAATTATTCATTTAGTCACCCCAGAGGTAGAAAATCAGCCATTGAATGCTTCTGACAGGCCTCTGGGGTGAACAGGGACAGGAGCCCTCTTGTCTGTGATGCATAGAAGCCGAACTACAGGGGGAGGACAGACTTTGAGGTTCCAGGAGTAAGAGGAGGCTGGCCTTTCGGCCTAGGTGGCCATTCTTCCAAAAGGTCTTTGTGTCTCACTAGATCCCAAGGCACCTGACGAATTTCCAAATTCAAACTATTTCCTATGAGTGATACTTTGCAAAAGGTTTGGTCCGCATCCCAGAGGCTGATCTGCAACCAAGCTATGCCTGTGCTTTGTTAGAGGACTTTGCCACAGGGATTAGGCAGTGTGTTCTGTGGGTGTTTCCCATTATTTATTTTACCTCTGCCTGGGAGTTTTTGTGTGGCCCCTGCCTCACCGCCCTCTGTCCAAGCCAATGAGTACCCTCTTGAACAATTTCCAAGATTTCTGTAGTCATATCAAAGCCAAGATGTCCTCATTCGTTTGGAAACCAGTATTTGTGGACATCTGACTACTTGACTTTCCTTTTTAAACTTCTAACCAGGGCCAGTGTGAGATCCCAGAGGCTGATTTGCAAATCTAGCTACATGTATCTGTGTATGAGACCCTGTATTCAGGGGAATCCTGTTTTTTATGGTGTTTTAGGTTTTGTTTTAACATTTCCTTTTAGCCTTAAATTTTTCCTAAATAATTTCCTCCTAATTTAAAAATTTTTTCTCATCTGGGAATTTGAAATCTCAGTATTTGAATGTTACACCAATTTTTCCAAAGAGTTCAAACTACTTTAATACCAGAACCTGGTAAATTCGCAGCTGTTTCAAACAGCTGGTGGGCTTTGTATATAACATCATTAACTGCTGGAACATTAAATGTCCTGAGAGGTAAATGTAAAATGTAAAAAGTAATTTTTAATAACAATATACTTTTCCAGTTTTCTTTATGTAACCAAAACTCTTTTTGTTTTTAAGTAAACTTTTTTTTTTTTTTTTTTGAGACAGAGTCTCACTTGGTCACCCTAGGTAGGGTGCTGGGGTGGCATCATAGCTCACAGCAATCTCAAACTCTTGGGGTCAAGCGATTCTCTTGCCTCAGCCTCCTGAGTAGCTGGGACTATTGGCTCCCGCCACAATGCCCGGACTTTTTTTGGAGACGGATGGGGTATCGCTGTGGCTCAGGCTGGTTTTGAACCTGTGAACTCAGGCAATCTACCCACCTCAGCCTCCCAAGTGCTGGGATTACAGGTGTGAGCCACCGTGCCTGGCTTAAGTAAACTTTTTGTTTTGGAATAATTTTAGAATACAGAAAAGCTGCGCCTCACCCAGATTCTCTATTGTTAACACCATGATACAGTGGCAAAACTAAAACCCCAACATTATCGCATTCCTATGAGCTAAACTCCAGACTTTATTTGGATTTCACCTGCTTTTCCATTCATGTCCTCTTCTGTTACATTTGGGTCCTGGTGTTACCTCAAACTCCTCTGGTCTGTTACCATTTCTTAGTCTTTATTTTTCATGACCTTGACAGTCTTGAGCTCTGGCCAGGTATCCTGTAGAATGTCTCCCAGTTTGGATTTATCTGAGTTTGTCTCATGACAAAACTGGGGATATGGGCTCTGGGGATGAATACCGCAGAGGAGCGGGTGCTTTTCACTGCATCCCCTGGGGTGTGGCATCCCTGTGACTTCACTTTGAAGTTCACCTTGGTTAAGGAAGGGGCAGATAGGCTTCTTGTGTACATCTACTATTTTCCCCTTTCCCAGCTCTAGCTTCTGGAAACAAGTCAGAGTCTGCCCCATGGTTGAGAGGGGGCCAGGCGGTAGATTAAGTTTCAGGTTCTAGAAGAGGCAGCATCTACGTACACTGTCTCTAAAGAGTCTTCTCTTGGGAATCATACTGTTTTGATAAAGGCTATATTTAAACTATTCTGTTTTGATAAGGCTGTATATAAATTTGACTGTGGTTATCACATCATGGGTGGGTGATCTTCTGTTTAATAGTAAATTTTTAGTGTCCCATTTAAATGTGCTATCTTATCTCAGGAATGTTTTGGGAATTTGTTATAGTGTGGTATGCCTGTGTGTGTACTTGTTGGCAGGAGGGTAGAGCAGAGATACCTTTTCTAAAATGTAAAACTTTCAAATTTCCAGGCTGCCTAGACCATATAATGAAATATAAGAAAAAGTGCATTGAGGCAGGTAAGTAAATACAGAAGTTGCTTTTATTATTTGAAGAAACTGGTAACTTAAGCCAGCATAGCTCTTTTTACAGATGAAGAAACTGAGGCGGGGTGGGGGAAGGTGGGTTTTAAGTGTCCAGGTCACTCAGACAGTGAAGGCAGAAGCACCCAGGGCTAATCCCCCACCAGCACTTTGCCCACTGAGCTGAGCCTGTCCAGGGGATGGACTCTTAGCTGTATGTGGTAGGGCAACAATATGGTCAAATAAAACCACCCTATCCCCGTGACTGACGTTTTCGCCCCCAGTCACCCTCACAGTGGTGCCAGTTGAAGGTCCTTCCTGATGAATGGGAGTCCTATGAGCCCTTTCACCTCCTCAGACACTAGCACTCCCAACCTGTGGCCATGGGGCTCTCCAGAACCTTCTATTTGGATTAGCAAAAGAGTGGGAGTGTTAGCTAACAGAGTGACTTTGAAGCATGCTCTCAACCTCTTCAAAGGGATCACCTTCCACATGCCTTCCCCTGGGTGTTTGAAATAAATCCCTTTAGAATAATCCAGCCCTAGTGCCCACTTTCCAGGGGTTTGTTTTTCTGGGTAATTTAGTGTTGGGATGCTAATAAAGCTCGTGGCATGTGCAGGGATCGGTCCCAGACATTTCCAGTCTTCACCCCACAGGGCACCCGTGTGCCCTGTGAGACTGAGCTGCGGGTCCTGTGCTGTCTGTCCCACGAGAGGGCAGATGTGGAGCACTGAGCTTCCCTCTTGCTCCTGCCTCCACCCCAATGATCTGTAGGAAGACACTGTGGGTGTGAGGAGGTCTGAGGCCGTGAACTCCTAAAGACAATTCTGACCCAGGGCCTGAAAAGGTCTCCTAGGTGGGGAAGATAATTCATCCTATTGTATGACATGTTCCTGGAAATCAATCTAGTCCTTATTTGCAAGTCAGATCAATGAGACAACTGGCTTTTTCTGACAGAGTTGACTTGTCAGCAGGAGCCACTTCCTTCTTTCTTTGCATTCAGTAAAGTTGACAGAATGGTCTGATGGACGTGGATGAGGCTCCTGGAACACAGTGCTCTAGCAGCCATGGTCCTGATCCTGAATTCACCTGCTGTAACCATAAGCATGTCACCTAACCTGTGGCCCCCCAACCTGGGAAGAAAACATCACCCCCTCCTATGTTTATCTAAAAGCAGAGGCTAAGAACAGAAGTGAGAGATAGAATCCGGTCCGAGCCTCCTACCACCCCTAGAGCAGGGAAGCTATTTTTATAATAGCAGAGCAGTGGTATGGGGGCCCTATACTTTTGGGGGAGGCAGGTACTTGGAGACTCTGGGAGCAATGATAAAAGTTCACTGTATAGTGGAGTCCGCTTCTTAGATGTGTGCCAGAGAACTTAAGGTTTGTTTTCTAAAGCCCTTTGAGAAATTTTAATGAGGCAAGGGTCAGCATGTTCAACGTGGGATTCTCTCTCAACTTCCCAGGAAGTCTGTGGGACCCAAACATCACTGCTTGTAAGAAGAATGAGACGACAGTAGAAGTGAATTTTACAACCAGTCCCCTTGGAAACAGATACATGGCTCTTATCCAGACTAGCATGGTCATTGGGTTTTCGGATGTGGTGGAGGTACTCTTTCCCTTCATCCCCTTACCGTTACCCCCTCCTCACCCTCCCGCTTTCCTTAGCTTGTTGATAGGAAATGAGGACACATTAGGATTCTCTGAACAGGCTCTCTGTGGAGAGAGCACAGGACTGTCTATTGTGCAAACGTGCTGGGCCATTTTGATGAATTCAACAGATAAAAACAAGTCTCTGTGGCCATCCTGGGACGTATCACTGTGAATCTAAAACCTAACCGAGGTAGGAGTTCCAGAAGTATGAAGTGAATCCTTGTTCAGATACAGTCTAGTGAACTGACAGTCAGAACGCAAGCTCCCTCCTTAGCGGCCTCCACTCTGCCCCAGTCTGCTCACTCACGCCTCCATTCCTGTCTCACCTATGTGCCCCAGAGCGAACTGATGCGAACTTCCGTAGTGATCCCGGTGACTGGGGAAAGTGAAGGTGCTGTGGTTCAGGTAATTTTAAAGAGGTACTTTGGGGAGGGAAGGGACACTAGAAGACTGACCGTTCCCCCATTAACTGCTTCTAATGAGTCCTTTCGAGTTCATTCTCCCCTCCCGAATACGTTTCTGCCAGCAGATCTGAGCTTAGTGATACTGGGGAAGGCCACCCTGCCGTCTCCACCTGCCGAGGCCAGGAAGCTGACTTTCCAAAGTGCTTTTATTAATGCTTCCATTTCTGTCAGATGCTCAGGGCTAGGAGTGCCGTTTTATTTTCCCAATGATCAGTTTCAATTGCAAAATTAAGTTACAAAGGATTCAAACTTGGAAGGTTTAGGTTCCACATCTGGAGAGGGACTGTCTTCTCAGGGTCTCAGCTGACCAAGCTGGAAACAGGAAGTTGGACCCACAGATGATCTCAGGTCTCTTTCAAGTCTGAGTTTATAAGGTGGGGACATAGAGGATCCAGTAGGACACAGTCACACCCAAGAGAATAAGGAGCTTTTGTTTCTTATTCCCTGGAACATTAAATGCACAGACATGTAGGGCGTGGTAGGGGGGCGAGCACATTATGACTACACCCCTTTTCTAGGGAACTATAGAATTTCCTAGTCATAGGGGACTGGCTTGTCATAAAGCTCAGACTGAAGTCAGTAAGAATGCTATTGCTTTTTCTAAAGGAAGTGTTTGTGTGTTACGATGTGACCTAGCCCTTTCAGATAAGGAACCCAGCACGCTGGTAACATGCACAGTTTAGGCTCTAAGCTTGGTAGTCTTCAGTGCTTGAGTTTGGGGTCACTGGCTTGGATTTTAGGACTTTGTTACAGATATGTGACCCAAAAAATACCCATGACCATGCTAGATGTAGGGCTGAAACCAGAAAAAAAGGGAAGAAGAATCTTGGTGGAAGTAGGAACACTGCTGCTCTGGAGCACGCTGTGAGCTTTCTAAGTCTTTCATTTTTTTCTCAGTTGACTCCGTATTTCGCTACTTGTGGCAACGACTGCATCCGGCGCAAAGGAACTGTTGTGCTTTGCCCACAGACAGGTGCTCCCCTCCCCCTGGATAAGAGTAAGTGCCCAGTCATTTTCAAAGGGCAATCACAGTAATTCAGGACAGAGAGGGCCCCTCTGTCCCTGCCCCCGTCACTGTGTGGCAGGGCATGTGCACACGGGGAACGCAAGGAGTCCCTGCCTGCGTATGCTGAATTGGGGTGCAGAGAAAGCCGCCAGTGCCGTTCTCGAGAGCCTACAGTCTTAGAAAGAGCAAAGGCTTTATTTATGAAACCACTCACCCTTTATGAAGCAGGATACACCAAAGGGGAAAAAATAAACAGAATAAAATGAATGTTCTAAGAGCCATGAGGACGTGCTGAAAAAAGTCAGTGGCATAAAATGACTGGGTAGACACGAGAACACACATTTCACTGCATTTTGATTCTCTCATCAGTCTCAACAGCCCATGCTGCATTGTTATTATCAGTTGATGTGATCACACAGCCAGCATTTGAATAAACAAATTAGGAACCCTGGCACCAAATGATGGACACTTCACTAGTGCCCGAGAGCAGCATGTTCTGGAAAGTGTCTCGAGATTTAGAGACATGCCAGGTCTTTCATTACAGATGGACAAATAAAATGTTGCCAGAACTAGCCCAGGGGTGGGGTCAAAAGTTAGAAGCTGTTATTCTTAGAATCTCTCAAATGAAGACAACCCGGGTGCCTCTCTATCCTGACTTCTGCATGGGTGTGGTGCCACGTGGACTCCTAATCACTTCATGCCCGAGCCCCACTGTTCCTATGAGGCAGTGGCATCATTTCCCACAGGTCAGTCTAATAAACAGCCGTTAAAAATCCCATCGAGGCTGGGCACAATGGCTCGTGTCTGTAATCCCAACACTTTGGGAGGTTTAGGCAGGAGGATCACTTGAGGCCAGGAGTTTGAGACCAGCCTGAGCAAGAGAAAGACCTCTGTCTCTACAAAATAGAAAAATTAGCTGTGTCTGGTGGCATGCACCTGTAGTCCCAACTATTTGAAAGGCTAAGGCAGTAGCACTGCTCAAGCCCAGGAGTCTGAGGCTGCAGTGAGCTATGATGACGCTACCATGTTCTAGCCTGGGAAACAGAGCAAGACTGTCTCCAAAAGCCATTTACACTTACTATGAATGTAAGTAACTGTACCCAGAATGACAGTAATTCCTCAAAGGACAAAACACCATATGTAAACTCTGGTTTCTACAGTAAAAATGGCTATGCCTGGAAGGACTAAGAAGCTACAGAACAGCAGAGGACTATTCTTACTTTCCTGGGTCCCACATCCCTTGTGAGAATCTAACAAATGACCTGGACGGTCTATGGAAAAACAGAGATTGGCGGACTCCCAAAAGATTTTCTGACCCTTGGTTGTAAAGGGATCTAAACTTCTACAAAGCATAGAGTAAGAAGTCTAGTCTTCAAATAGGAGACAGATGTGGTTTTGTTTTGCCGAAAGTGAGTGAGCTTTGTTTTCTCTAGACAGAGGCATGTTAGGAGGCTGGCTGCCTCTCCTCCTCCCATCTCTGCTGGTGGCCACATGGGTGCTGGCGACTGGGATCTACCTGACGTGGAGGCACGGTAAGGGTCATGATTTTTTAAAGATAACCTAACGAGGAAATAACATTTTCACTTTTTTTAAAGCAAGTTCCTCTAGAGGCAATCATATGCTGGCATTTCCCAGAGCTGGAAGCCTGCATTTAATGCTTTACAGTGTTCCCACAGAGACTCAGAGGTCACGGCTAGACTCCATCTGCCACGTTAAAGTGCAGTGAGGACTTCCAGGTCTGGTGACTAGCACCTGTTTTATTTTTACCATGGAGGCAGCTCTAAGTCTGAAAGGATGAAGCTGTAAGTCTGAAAGCAAAAGATGAAAGATGACAAACTGCATTTTACCTGAGACGGGCACTCCAGGTTAGTTCTTAATTTGTATAAATAGTTTTTCTGAGGCCTAAGGAATCTCATTCACTTGGATTCAAATAAGAGTTGAACCCTGAATAGCCCAAGCTGAACCATGTAGGAACATGTACATGTGAACCTTTTTTTTAGTAAATCAAAGTTTTTAGAGAGTTGCAAAGGGGTAGGTGTGTCAAGAATGCATAAAATACACGTATTATAGATATTTATCTATTTTATCATTTACTACCATAAAATACACACAAGTCTATTATAAAAAGCCAAAGTTTATCAAAACTTATGTACACACAGACTTTACATGGGGCCATTCACAATCAGAGAAAAATAAAGGTGCAGAATTAAATCATAACTGCATAAAATTTACTATTCTATCTACTGTACAACTGTAATAATTTCATAGCCGTCTCCTGTTGCTATTGCAGTGAGTCTCAAGTGTTGCGCGTGTCAGCTTTAAACCCCGTGGGAGGCTAATCATCTCCAAATGAACAATTTGTCTCTCCAGCAAAGTACATATGCACAGTAAGAGTCACACGTGTTTTTCCTGTTCAGTGCAATACTGTAAATGTTGAGTAACACCATAGGACCTGTGCCAAGGGCCACTAATGACTCTGGAAGTGCTCCCAAGAAGCAGAGAAAAGTCATGACATTACAAGAAAAAGGTGAATTGCTTCATACGTAACTGCGGATTAAGTAAGGTCAGTAGCTGCAGTTGCCTGCCACGTCAAGATAATACAGAGTAAATAACAACCACTGTTAAGAATAAAAGGGGAAATAAAAAAGAAATTAGTGAAGCTATGGTACCAGCAGGTATGAACATCTGGCACTTTCTGTGAAACACCTTTGTATCTGGTATTGAAAATGCAGCTTTTATGTGGGTGCAGGATTACTGTAAGAAAAACATACCTATAGATTCTGTTATGATTTGAGAAGAAGCAAAGTCATTCATTATAAGACAACTTAAGGCAGAAGGAAGGTAAAGGTTCTAAAATTGAAGAATTTAATGCCAGCAAAGGCTATTTGATAATTTTAGAAAGAAGTCGGGCTTAGAAAATAACTCTAGGTAGCAGGAGAAGCAGTCTGTGCCAACCAAGAGGCAACAGCCAAGTTCCTAGACTCCACTAGGAAGAATCACTGAGGAGAAAGGCTAGCTGCCTCAACAGGCTTGACAGGCAGATGAAAGTAACCTATTCTGGGGGGGGGGCGCAAGGGGGGCTACAAAGAACATTTACTAGCACAGAAGACAAGCGAGCACAGGATTTAAGGCGGAAGGAATAGATTAAACTCTGCTGTTTTGCACAAAGGCAGTCAGGTTTATGATCAGGACTGCCCCTATCTATAAAGCTGTCAATCTCAAGCCTGGATCACAAAAACCCCTTTTCTGGATCGGTTCCATTGATGCTTTGTCCCTGATGTCCCAGAGAGTACCTTGCCAGTAAAGGGGACTGCCTTTTAAAGTTCTTTTGATATTGGAAAATGTCCCTGGCTACCCAGAATCCCACAAGTTCAACACCAAAAGCATCAATGTCGTCTTGCCTACAAACACAGTGTTTCTAATCCAGCCTCTAGATCAGGAGGTCATAAAGGACCTTTAAGGCTCCTTACACATAGTACTCTGAAAAGGACTGTCAATATTATGGAAAAGAATCTCCAAGAAATAGCATGAAGATCTGGAAGGATCACACCATTAAAGATGCTGCTGTTGCTATATCATAGAAAAAGCTCTGAAAGCCATCGGGCCAAAAACAGTAAATCCCTGCTGAAGAAAACAGCCCAGATGCTGTGCACAACTTTATAGGACTTAGGACAGAGCCAATCAAGGGACTCGTGAAAGGACTTGTGGATGTGGCAAAAGACGTGGGGGCAGAGGAGCAAAGGATTTCAGGATGTGGATCTTGGGAGAAATTTAACCGCTTACGGACACCACCCCAGAGGAATTACCAGAGGCTGACTTGATGGAGATGAGTACTTCTGAACCAGCCAGACGAGACGACATAGAAGCAGTGAGAGAACCAACATTAGATTAGACGGTCTGGCAGAAGGTTCCAGTTATCCAAGACTGCTTTGACTTCTTTTACAGTATGATCCTTCTATGATATGGGAACTAAAACTAAAGAAAGGTAGAAGAATTAGTTTTACATAGAAACATTTCTAGAGAAATTATGAAAGTCAGAAATTACAACGGAAAGCTCCACTCAGCACATCTGCCTCTGCCCCCAGGACACAAGACCAGCCCCTCCTCTGCCTCCTCCTCAGCTTATTCTACACGGGGATGGGGACGAAGACCTTAATGATGACTCACTTCCACCTACTAGTCAATGTATTTTGTCTTCCTTATGATTTTAAGAATATTTTTCTGTCTTAAGAATACAGCATATAATACACGTTATATACAAAGTGTGTGTCACTAACTCTGAATGTTATCCATGAGTCAACAATAGGCTATTAGTGGGAGTACAGTTTTGGGGCAGTTAGAAGTAACAGGTGGATTTTCAACTGCACAGGGGCTGGCACTCCTAACCCCTGCATTGTGCGAGCATCAACTGTGCTCTCGAAGTTAGTCTTTGCCAACTCTGTAACACTAAGTATTTGAATACAGCTAGAGGCAGACCCATCACAAACTTCTCATTTTTCTCTCTATACATGTAGTAAAGGAACTGTAAGTGCACTCTTGAGTCATTTGTGACCATAATATAGACAGAATAAGATTAATTCCATGTTCTTTCTAAGCTAAGAAAGCCAGGTGGCACTTTTAACTCAGGAATACTTTTAGGGAATGCTGTTTGACCTGTATTATTTTTAGCAGTTTCATACAGAATTTCTATTTTATAGCACTGTACAGGGCAGAATTCTAGGTAAGTTTCAGAGGCTGAAATGGGGCACCATTTAACTTTATAGGACTATAAAGAAACTACCACCTGCAGGTGTAAGATGGTACAAATAACTGAGTTCTCACAAAGTATGACATCGAGTGTAGAGGTCCGGCGCCCCTCTTTATATAGACCATTAAAAATATGGAATTTGTAACTACCAACCTCAAACAAAGTACCTTAAACCTAAATAGTTTCTTTGAATTTATCTGAAAAGATAAGGCTTGAATAAGAGCACTGATCTTTGAGGTTTAAGGGTCAGGAGATGCGTTCAAAAGTAACATCAGGATGTTTCTCCGTCAGGCAGTAACAAGGTCCCTGGTGCTCAGCTGCCGTTCTCTAGCGAGGGGACAATTGTCAGTGATGGTTTACACAAGAGTAGAGGCTGCTGTGTGTTCGCAGATAACCAATGCTTGTCTCCTTTTCTCTACAGAAAGGATCAAAACGACTTCCTCTTCTACCACATTACTACCCAGCATTAAGGTTCTCGTGGTTTACCCATCTGAAATATGTTTCCATCATACAGTTTATTACTTCACTGAATTTCTTCAAAACCATTGCAGAAGTGAGGTCATCCTTGAAAAGTGGCAGAAAAAGAAAATAGCAGAGATGGGTCCAGTGCAGTGGCTTACCACTCAGAAGCAAGCAGCAGATAAAGTCATCTTCCTTCTCTCCAATGACATCAACGTGTGTGATGGTACCTGTGGCAAGAACGAGGGCAGCCCCAGTGAGAACTCTCAAGACCTGTTCCCCCTTGCCTTTAACCTTTTTTGCAGCGATCTAAGAAGCCAGACTCATCTGCACAAATACGTGGTGGTCTACTTCCAAGAGGCTGATCCCAAAGATGGCTACAGTGCTCTCAGTGTCTGCCCCAAGTACCACCTCATGAAAGACGCCACCACTTTCTGCACAGAACTTCTCCATGTCAAGCAGCATGTGTCAGTGGGGAAAAGGTCACAAGCCTGCTACAGTGGCTGCTCTTCCTTGTAGCCCCCCCATGAGCAGCAAGAGACCTTGAAGCCTTCCTTCAAGGTCATCACCAAAAATGCATTTGTGATAAACTTGAGGTAGACTGTACAGCCCGTAAGGGGTCTACTAGTTAAAACATTTCATGCCAATAGAGGTCTTGTTACAAATACTGCCAGGTGCTACAGCATTAAGAATTTGAACTAAATCAGTAATTCCAAAGCTAAATCAGTTTTATACCCACAAATCAAGAATAATTATAATTGAAAACTATAACCAAGCTGATAATGCAGTGATAAAGCATCTTCAAACCAAACATCGGTCTTGCAATGTATGCACTGCAGATAGTACTGTTTAGCTTTGTAATAGTCTAAATTTAATTAATGAATACTAAATTTAAGAAGGCCTCACTAATTCACTCAGTAGCTTCTTAAGTGAAAGATCTATTACATGTAAAAATCTTTATTTGTAAGATAACAAAAGTAGGGAACAAACAAGTTGAACCCATCTTTACTGACCAGATGATCTAGTGTCTATGTACCTACTTGTATTATCTGGCATTTACACAAGACCTTCCCTCTCTAAACCAGATTTCATGTCTTGAGTCTTGTACAGGTGACTTTTAATGTGAACAACAAAATACCTATAAACCTGTTACCTACTTTTCCCAAAGTTAACTTCTATTAACTGGCAAAAGTTCTCAGTTTCTTGGTTATTATGTAACCTTTTATGTTGAAAATATAAATAATTCTTAAGTTGAAAGACCTCTTGAAATAAATAATCTTTTTACAAAGTAAAAGGTATTATAATGCTTTACTTAAAAAACAGAAGCCACCACAGAATTACAGGACATAGAGATATGTGGTATTTTAAGTCTTACAACTTTCAATTTTTCTAGAAGGATCTTAATGCAGAGGTCACACTATATTAGCGTATATATCCTTCTAGGAATGCTCATTTCACAGTACAGTACTGACTGTTCTAGAATGTGGATCCATTTCAGATGGATTACCATTAAAATAAAAACCAAAATAAGTGCAAAGTAAAAACTCATCATGTCCAGTTTCACAAGCAGATACTCAGTTAAGGCTGAAGCCCTGTTTAATGTGGTAAAGCCCACTTATTTGTCATGATTAATTTTCACAGTGTGTATAAGTGTTAGTAACAGAAGATGATGGACATGGCTTAGGTCAAAACTTTGACCTAAACCAACCTCCTTTGAATCAACATCCACTAGGTCTAAGAGCAATATGCTATTAGGTCACAAACTATTAGAAACAGAAATACATACTATGCTTTTGAAAATAAAATTGTGTTGAAATAGCCAGCTCAGAAAGATAAGTAAAAATCAACAATCTATACATTTATTTTGTTAAAAAGTTAAAAAAATAAAAACATACATTTTTCAAATTGAAGGCACACATCCCAACAGTACTAGCAAGTTACAATTATTTTGTTATACTGCACTCTTGAAGCTTCTCCTATTATGCAGAATGCTCCAGGACCAGCATCTCTCCACATCCAAAGACTTTTCTTACTTCCATCTCTTCTCTCTCCTTGCCCTTGTCTTTGCCTCAGTCTCACCCTATCTCCAGTCTGGATAAATTAGACGGTGGAAACAGATGCCTGGCAGCAGGTCACAGGAAGCAGCACTCAGCAGTCCAGCGCGCCTTCCCTGGGCCCCCGAGGTCCTGGGCTGTGCTCGCTGACTGACTCCTGTCTTTGGACAATGCCTTCTCTTCCTCTTGTCAGGAGCTCAACAGGCTTCACCAGCACCTGGGCACCAGGTGGTAATAGCTCCTGTATTACTTAGATTTTGCTTCAGGATGCTTACAGGTTACGGTCAGCTCATCTTACTGATCATAATGAACTCCAAAAGCTTTTATTTGGTTCTTCAGGTAAAGGATAATTGGTGTGGGGGGGGGGGCTTATGATTAAGTCAGTAGAAACTACAGTAGTGGCTTTGTTTATCTGTACAATGCAAGCTGACAACTCCAAATTACACCTACATCATTTCTATTTGGCTTTAGGAAGGAAACAAGATTTTCAGCTCTTGTTCTGTTTCGGTCAAATAATTGTCTTTTTTTTTTTTTTTCTGTAAGCTCTCCTAGAGCGGGCAAGGAAAAAAAACAGTCAGTAGAAACTACAGTAGTGGCTTTGTTTATCTGTACAATGCAAGCTGACAACTCCAAATTATACCTACATCATTTCTATTTGGCTTTAGGAAGGAAACAAGATTTTCAGCTCTTGTTCTGTTTCGGTCAAATAATTGTCTTTTTTTTTTTTTTCTGTAAGCTCTCCTAGAGCGTGTCAGGTAATAAAACCTAGTCAGCCCAACCTTAACTTTTTTTTTTTTTTTTTTTGCAGTTTTTGGCTGGGGCCAGGCTTGAACCCACCACCTCTGGCATATGGGGCCGGTGCCCTACTCCTTGAGCCACAGACACCACCCCCAACCTTACCTTTTTACCCTCTAGAAATCTATGGATCCCATTCTTTTGCAATCCAACAGAAAAACAAAAGCCTCCCCATTTTTTCTTTTTCTCTATTTGGAATTCTAAAAGGACACACAAATTCATCACATTACATGTGCACGTAACTCGGACAACTTTAGATTCTAACTGCGATACTAGACAGGAAGAAAAATGGCACAACTAGAGAGTTCTCACAAGTCAGAGGCCACCCCTGGTGGTAGCCCGAGTCTGCTTGCTGATGACATTCAGAAGTCAACTTAAACGATGGGCTCCCCCAGGTGAGAACATTCAACAGCAACGCTTTACATCTCTGGGCAGTTCACTAGACCCTGAGAGAGCGGGAGGAGAGTTTACAACTGAAGAGTCAGTTCATAGTCTCCAAAGGCCTGACTAACAAAAAGCAGCTTATAATTTCACACCAACATCATGTCTTCAACATGAAGTTGAAATTCACTTACTTTCCATGAAACTTAAGCATCTAGATCAATAAATTAAAATACATATATCCTGTAAGAGTCTTTTATACCAAGAAGCTTGTTTCTGGTCTTCACCGGTGACTTTGGTCCCGTCTCACCATACAAAAGCAGCCCGCTCTCGTAACATGCGGACGCCAAAGCGCTGCCACTCTCGCTGGTAGATCCACAGTTCCTGTGTTGTATCCAAACAAGCCAACACTGCCCCTCCTTTCCATGCAATCAGCCTGGGATCCATGTCCTAGGGAGGTGATGAAGATATTTTAGCTTATTCAAACGACACATACTTGAACTTAAAGGCTGGAAAAACCCCTGCTCAGAAAATACCTAGTTAGCCAAGTTTCCACCTGCATTAAAAATAGCAAGACTCACGAACTACAGACGTCCTTCTGTTCCAACTGACAAGAAAACTTTTAAATTTTTATTATTGAAGATGCTACTATTTACTACTATTCCACAAATAGTTAAGGTCCTGTAGGCAGGACCTATATAAAGAAATGACTTACTTTAAAATCTGAGTAGAAGCTTGAGGACACACCCTCCCTTAAGATTAAAAAGAAACAATATTTCCAGGAATTGTCAGTGAGAGTTTATGAAATATAGACAATCTATTCCTAAATTCCTCGACTTCTCTTTCTTTACAAGATAATTTAAGTCGTAGGATCCTTGGTATAAATTAAAAAAGATGAAGCTGGAGCAGCTGGCTCAGCGCCCATAGCTCAGTGGTTAGGGTGCTGGCCATATACACTGGGGCTGGTGGGTTCAAACCTGGCCTGGGCCTGCTAAACAACGACAGCAACAACAGAAAAAAAATAGCCAGGCATTATGGGAGGCTGAGGCAAGAGAATTGCTTAAGCCCAAGAGTTTGAGGTTTCTGTGAGCTGTGATGCCATGGCACTCTACCAAGGGCGACATAGTAAGACTGTCTCAAAAAAAAAAAAATAGAAATAGAAAACAGAGCTGTTCTGGCTGGTGGGGTGTCAGAGTGCAGGCCGTGTTCCCTTTGCCCCTGCCCCCACTAAAGTGGAGAGCACTGCAGGGAAGAGAAGCAGGAATCTGTCCCTTGGGCCAGAGCTCCTTCCACCACATCTGGGACCTGCTGGAAATAATTCTACTTGCTGCAACCCCTCAAGAACTCCCCACATGCAAGCCCACGCCTACCTGGATTGGATCTGTTTATATACAACATCACACTTAGAAATAATTAATGCTGGTTTTATTTGCATACAGTCAAACTTGTACCATGAGACAACATACCTTAGGCCTTGTGATCACATCCACGTTTTCAATAATACGCCTGAAAGAAGGTGGCATTTTATTGAGAATTCTGTGCTGCAGAAATTCTTGAGCTTTATGAAACATCAAACCACCGCCCACCACTAGGATGGAGCTGTACATCTTCTTTTTGGTATCATCAGATGCTGAAAAACACAGCAATATTCTTTCCATACTTTTTTTTCCACGCCCAACAACCCTAGATCAAGCCACCATCATCTCTTGCTTGGTCAACTGCAATAGCCTTCTGAAAGATCTCCCTTCCATCCACCATCAACCCTGCAGCCAGAGGAACTCATAAAACCTAAAAATGAGCACACTGCCACCCCACACCATAGCCTGCTACTGGAAAGATTAGACCAAAATCTGTTTTGTTTTGTTTTTTTTTAAGAGATAGAGTCTTATTTTGTGGCCCTCAGTAGAGTGCTGTGGTCACAGCTCACAGTAACCTCCAGCTCTTGGGCTTAGGCTATTCTCTTACCTCAGCCTCCCAAGTAGCTGAGACTACAGGCGCCTACCACAATGCCCGGCTATTCTTTTGTTGTAGTTTTGGCCAGGGCCGAGTTCTAACCCACAACCCTTGGTATACAGGGCCAGCGCCCTACTCACAGAGCCTAGGCACTGTCCTTTTTTTTTAAGACCAAAATCTCCCCCCTGCCTGGAATGCCACTCTACCTATGACCACTTACCCTCCTTCACGCATAGGCCTCCTTCTCTAACTTCCTCCTCCATGTGGGAAGTAAAGATTCCTTACTAACTCCCTTAATCAGAAGCTCTCACAGCCAGCACCCTTTAGCTCAACTTTATTGTATCTGCCTTAGTTGTAATTTCACATTTGTGTAACAATGTGCCTTATTTTGGTCTCCTCCACTAGGAGGCCAGGAGCCAGTTCTATTTCATTACTATATTCCCAGCACCTGCCAATGTAGGCCACAGAGTAGCTGCTTGATAGTTTTTCAACATGCTACACCAGGGGTGTCCAACCTGTGGGCTGCATGCTGACTTCGTGAGGATGTTTTTTGCTTACCTGTGTTGACAGAAAGTATGCAGACCTTTTTTTTTTTTTTTTTTTTGGCTAATTAGCTTTCTTTAGTGCTTGGGTATTTAACGTGTAGCCCAAGACAACTTTTATTCTAATGTGCAACATTGAAAAAAAAAGGTGGGATACCCCTGTGCTACACTGCATAACTATACCTTAGGCTAAATCAATTCACTTAAGTGCTATCCTACTTAATTACCACCTCCCAGTCTCCCCAAATGTGCTTACAACAGCAGTCTATGCTGTGAAGGATGGCTTTATCCAGGCCCAGGGCTTTTCCTTCAAACAGTGAGATGGCAGTCTTCCTGGACATCAGTGCAGTGAGGGCTTCCTCAGAGTCATTGCCGGCCATCAGGCAGTCTCCCTGGGAAGACCCCAAATCCACCTCCTGGGAATGGAGTCTTTCTGGAAGATCAGAAGACTGGCCACGAAGATCGCCTTCAAATCCAATAGGTTTGGATGCAGACTTTCGGTCAGCAGTAGCTTTTGCAGACTTTAAATCAAAAGAATAATCAGTAGACGGTATGACTATAATAGAACACTGTTGATGTTGTCTAGCTAGACCCTACTTCTCCCTACACCACTATTATGCTGCTACTGTAAGACAAAAGGCACCACAGTATATCAACAACTCTCCAGCACTCATTCCAACACAACCGGGGAATGAGAGGTGACACACAGAAGGCGAGGATGCTCTGACAATTCAAAAGCAGTCTGGCTAGCAGAGGTCTCTCCGAACCTTGTTTCAACTGGTTGGATTTTAAAATTGAAATGTCAATATAGATGAACTTTCTTTCCCTTAAACTGAGTTCTTAAGTGGAGTATTTCAGGGAGCTTCACAGGCCAGTGGCTACTATGGAACCCTTATTTTCAGATCCTATTTATCCACTTCATGCTTGTCTCTAGGGCAAGAACAAGGACCAGAAAAGTGTATTCTTCATCACAAGCTGCTGCCGTTTCGTTAGCAGATAAAAACTTGTTTATGCCCCTGCACTAGACATCCTCTTCTTACTGGGATCACCTTTCTTTGCCTCTGCCGTACACATCTTTCACATAATTAAAATACAGGGGAAGATGCAAGGATGGTTCAACATACACAAATCTATAAATGTAATTCACCTGATAGGCGCAAAAACAATGACCATATGATATTCTTGATGGATGTAGAAAAAGCATTTGACAAAATTCAGCACCCTTTTACAATAAGAATTCTTAACAAAATAGGCAGAGATGGAACATACCTCGAAATTATAAAAGCCATAAATGACAAACACCCAGCCAACATCATACTGAACAGCGAAAAATTGAAAGCTTTCCCGCTTAGAACTGGAACTAGACAAGGTTGCCCACTGTCAACACTTTTGTTCAATGTATTGCTGCAAGTCTTAGCCACAGCTATCAGGCAAGAGAAGGAAATCAAGGGTTAACAAAATGGGGCAAGAAGTATCCCTCCTTCCTGGTAATGCAATCTTCTATATCGAAAACCCAAAGATTGAAGTGGTATCTATCACTCCTCGAAGTGATAAATAAAATCAGCAAAGTCTCTAAGTTACAAAATCAATGTACACAAGTCAGCAGCATTCCTTTTTGTTTGTTTGTTTAGCAGGCCATTGCAGCAGCCCGTAGAGCCTATGGCTAGGAGGAGTGAGAGTGGTAAGAAATACCTGTGTAGCTCAATGATGGAACACCTTGGTGAGAAGGGCATGGAGAGGGATTTGGTTCTAACAAGCATGAGAGAGCTCACGAGATGAGAGCACTGGTGAATTGGCATGGAGAGGGATTGGTTCTAACAAGCATGAGAGAGCTCGGGAGATGAGAGCACTGGTGAATTGGCAGTCTCTACACCTGTGGTGGTGAGAGGCACGAGCTCAGCCTTATATTAGGCCGGAGGAGAAGGCAGTTAAGGAGCATGCGCATTCTATCACGGACACGCTCACTCTGTCTCCTCTCTTACCTGCAGAACGCCAGCATGGTGTCTCTCTGCTGAAGATTACCAAACTCTGCTAAAGACTTAAGATCTACCTATGCTAAGAAGTCGGCTTTACTCTAACACACTCTCTCTCTCCCCAGCTGAAGTAGACAGCCCTCTGGCACCTAAGAGAAACTGTTCCTGAGCAAGGTAGCTTAGCGGTCCACGTCCGCCATCGGAACCTACCTAAGCCGGGCCCGTCCCGGGCCCTGACAAGTGGTGTCAGAAGCAGGACAGTGAACACCACTGACAAATGGTGCTGTGAGCAGGATTCAGTGAATGTGGACCGAGAGGGAAATAAGCTTTAGCAAGTAAGAAAAAGAGAAGAGAAATAGAAATATGTAGAGGGAAAAGAAATATCTAAAAAAGACAGCCAACAGCAGGCTGTTCTCATTTGGTTTTTCCTCTTTCCTACATTTTCTCTTTCTAAATTCTAACTACTTCTGTGGGAAAAAAGCTGATAAAAGCCTTTAGCCTCTTCTGAGAAGTGGCTAGGGGAAAAAAGGCAGAAAAAAGCCTTTAAACAGGAAAGAAAGAGAAAAGATAGAACTAGGAGATAAGAACCTTTAGCAAACAAGCCTTTAGCCTCTGGGGTGAGAAAAGCCTTCAGTAAAACACAAAGAGAAAAGTTTTGGGAATAGGTTGCAAGAGTTTATTAAGTTAGGGAAAAGAACTTCTAACTGCCTTCCCCTATATCTTCAGCCATTGACAGCAGGAAGTAGCTTTTGAGAGAGTGATGCCCCAATCCCTTTTTGGCAGTTAAGAGTTTGTTTAAAAAGAAAAGAATTGAGGTAGATTGAGGCTGGTGAAGAAACAGAGGAAGTGGCTCAAGTGGCT